GCAACCTTAAAAAGTCTTTGGTACCTATCCCTGTAACAGAGATAGATTAATCACATCTAAAATGGAGGAGGAGATCCAGAGATATCACAGAAAAAAAGAACTTAATTGAGATGGTGATAGTCTGAACAGCAACAACACTGCTCAGCAGTCAGAAGAGGAAGTGAACGTGATACATCTCACCAACAGCAGCAGTAGCACCCTCTAGCTGTGGTTAAAGGTACTATTCAATGTATGCTGGTTCAAGGGATTCGTTGTACACAATGAATCCATGATTGAATTATTCTGGAACATCTCCAAACATGGAAGCTACTGTCAGACATCATAGCAGCTAAGATAAGCGGCCACATGGATCCACACATGATAGAGGCACAGAAAGACTTTGGTAAAAAGACAAGAGGAGACAAAAACCTACTGCTGGTTTACAGAACAGTCGTCTGAGACTGAAAAACCCGACAAACTCAGGTGTCCACAGCCTGGGTTTATCAACATGGATACTGGAAGGCCTGAAGCTGCGTGAGATGACAGCAAACCTAACAGGGCTGTAGAAAACCACTCCTTTTACTTTTATCTTTGTTATGACTGTCACGTCCTAAAGAGTAAACATTTCAAATGAAAGAAGGTGATTATGAACAGAAACCCCACTTTGGAAATTTTCGGAAGAACATAGAACTTCCCTTTCTTGATGTGGTGCTTCCCAGATGTATAGAGATGCTGCTAGGATCCCTCCATGAGTTTACAAAAATTCTTCATTCGTTGAAAACCGACCGGATTAGAGAAGCAAGTTCATCAGGTCATCTCTGCCGGAGTCCAAATGAACTGCCATGATTTAGTAGAATTTTTTGACGTGTGTGGTCAGATGATCACTAGATGGCGCTTTAACACAAACCAAGGAATGATGAGAAATGACTGCACATGGAGGAATATTTGTTTTTATCCATCAGAGGAAAGCAGAATTCAAGGTTGTTTCATCAGCTGAGAATTTAGAACTTCAAGCTGGAGGTGAGGGACACATGGATGCATCCTCCAGGCAGAGAAGTAGACCAATGCATCCTGCAAGGTTGGGGGAGGTGGTGGTGTTTGTGTGTCTGTGTGTGTGTGTGCAGGGGGGGGGTTAGGCAGAGAGGGAGGGAAACAGCATGCACAGCAAAACAAAGTGATGACGGAGGAATAAAGGATAGAAAAAGCCTGAATGGATTCAGCTCTGCTCTCAACCAATCAGAGCCTCTGCCTCTCCTCCTTCACCAGCCGGGCTCTGTTACTGGCTGCTGGGAGCAGAGATGCAGAGACACTGTAGGGGGAAGGGGAGGAAGACGCTGTTTCCTCACCTCCATCCCTCTCTCAGTTCATCATCAGTTTCTCTCCTGTTCAGGTCAGGCAGGGTTGATCTAACAGGATGGACCTACAGTCCACCGACTGGAGCTGCTGGAGCTGCTATTTACCAAACAGCACCATGGGAGCTGGAGTCCCCCGGGGGTGCAGCAGAACAGCTGATCTGCTGAGGATTGTGGGTCAGCAGAGTTGGAAGATGTGAGCTGGTGGGCGGGCGCCGCTCAGCAAACTCTTGCTGTCTCCTCTCTCCTCATTGCTGCTGCAGCCTCATCATCAGCTTCCTTAGCCTCTCATCTCCTTCTCCATCTGACTGCTCCACCAGGAAGAGCCAGGATGGGCTGTCGCCTCAGCCGGACCAAGGTGAGTGGACTACAGCAGGTGGATGGATGGATGGATGGATGGATGGATGGATGGATGGATGGATGGATGGATGGATGGATGGAGGATGGATGGATGGATGGATGGATG